CAATTATGTTTTTTATTAGTATAAATATTACGATTTTAAGTCATCAAATATCTCTCCAAACTCAATCATTTCTGAAAGTTAATCGCTGAAATATTTGTCAGTATGTGAACATTTACAATTTTGAATTGGGTTTTAGTTTTATATTTGACATTTTCATACAGTTAGTTTTAGGATTTAATTTTGTTGTGTGTTTTTGTCATTTTTATTATTATTATTTTTTTTAAATATGTCTATAATTTTTACTAATTTATATTTGTTATTTTTATTTTTATTTTAGTACATCAAGTTAAACTAAATAAAAATGAGAAATGTTGTTTTGTGAACTAGCTGAAATCAAGTATTTTTTTCTATTTTATTTCAATTAATGTTTATTTTATTTCAAGTAATCAAAATGCTTTTTTATGGTTTTCATTTTTCTTTCAGTTAATTATAATAACCCTGGTTCAAGGGTTGTGGCCAATAGCCTATTAGCTGAAAAAGCATGTGCAGTTGCATCTATAGCATACTATTTGCATAATGTTCTTCAGGTTGAGACATATTGGCTATATTCAGATTAGCAGACTGTCATGCTGTACATAGTATGCAAATATAATTTTATGACAGGATGCCACCTGCATGCAACATGATGTGGTGATTTGTGACAACATGTTGCATTATGCAGTAAACTAGTATTCCATTCTGAACGTAGCAAACTGGAATGCAGCCATGTTCTTACTCTATATTTTTCCACACTGTTTAAATGTTTTCTCATTTTGCTGATGAGTCAGTACAAATATTACAGAGTTAGTAGTTCATCAGATATTGTTTGTGATTTAAACCGTTGGTTGGATCCTAACATTTTCAGCTGGATGGGGAGGAAAGTGAAGAACAGCATGACGTGACCCACAATTCTGTCTTTTTCTCTCTGACTCTCATTAGCTGTCCTATTGTGTTTGCTAAATGTGGCAGGCCTGTAAGCCATAAAAACAATGTAAATCTGGCTGGGACAGGCGATGGGGAAGCGCGTGAAAGACTGTATAGTCCACCTTTTATTTCACACCCCTAAACCTGTGGCCTGTCCCCTCCTTTTCCAGCTTCCCTCTCATTGCGATCCAAACTGTCACCTTTTATGGGAGTGTGTGATGGCTTCACTGTGTATGAGTGAGCGAGAGAATCTGGGCTAAAGAAAGAAAAGCCGTGACTGAAGGCCCCATTCACCGCTTTCTTTAACAGCCTTATTAGCTGGCTCGTTCGGAGTGAATGGGAATGTTTCTTTTATGAGGAAGGGGGAAAAAAACAGGAGGCTCGGGTAGCCTGGTGTAGAGGACAGAGGAAAAACAAGAGGGAAAGGCATATTCACCACAGTTCCCTCCTCCTCTCCTAATCCCGCTATCCTCTGCGACTCTGTAGTTTTCTCCTTCGGATCGGTGAAAAGGGCCTGTCCAATGGAGAGGACAGTTTGGAAGGAGAGTGTGGAGAGCGGCAGGGGGGCCCCTCAGTCTCTGAAATGTAGGGGTCATTGATTAGGGAGCCTCCCTGTGTAAGCGCTGGGACAGAGAGGGCTCCACGAAGGAGCTGCGTGAGGGCACAGCTAGTAATGCTGGGAAAATGACGGGCTCCGTATGCAACAGTATGGATGATATGTAGTGGAGTTTACATGCAGATTAAAGGAAATAACAAATCTGTCATTATTTACTCACCCTCATGTCTTTCCAAACCTTTCACCAAACTTTAAACAGCTCTTTTGTATATGAAAGACAGTTTATAGTGTCCAAACCTCTTTCAATATCCAATAAAATAAAATAAAATAAAATAAAAATAGCTATAAAATATTGATTGATAGTTTTGTACTAGAAAGAACATTGACAGTTTTCTGCTCTTCTGAAGCACTGAAATCTGTAATTTTCCATGAATCCATGAAAAACTAATAATCAGAAACATTATAGCTTAAAACATGTAAAAAAAAAAATTACATAGCATTTTTAACTATATGGTACAAATATTCCACTTAAAAAAAGAACCACTTAATTATATATTTATTTGTATTTATTTATTTTAAAGGGGTCATATGATGCTACACGCACTTTTACAAGTTGTTTAAACTGAAATGTGTGTTGGCAGTGTGTACACAACCACCCTATAATGATAAAAATCCACCCAGTGGATTTTTTAAAATCTGGTTAAATGTTTTCCCGTTTCTCAAATCGAGCCGATCTCAGATGCCTGTCTGTGTGACGTCACACAGACAGGCCCCTCCCACGATAGTTTGATTGACAGTAGCGTTTCAGCACAGACTGGACTGGTGTCTTACCTTAGACCTGCCCTGAGTGAGCTGTCATCAGTCCGCCATTGTTTCACCGCCGGAGCAGATGTAGACAAGAATGACTCCTAAGCGATTGAGGTGTTCTGTTGTTGGATGTAATAATGAACATAGCAGTCGTCATTTACTCCTGACATCTGAGCCGCTGAAGACGCAGCGGATTATGTTTGTTTGTGAAGGGAATGCGCCCCTGATCTACCTAAATGTGTCTATCTTTGCGCAAATCATTCGTGATCCAGCTTCAGGTCCAGAAGAAGTGAGTGTAATGCCGAGTTCACACTGCACGATTTTCAAAGACGTCGCATCACTGTTGGTTTCACACTGAACGTCTATCTGGGGTAGCATTCAGTTGTTGCTGTGTTCACACTGCACGATGGAACGACGACAGGAGGTTACACACTGCATGACTTTACAATAGGAAGAATCGCCGACAGCTCTGTCTGGTGCAGGGTTGCCAGGTTGCTACAAAACCCGCCCAATTACTACTCAAAACTAGCCTGAAAATAGCCCAATTGCTTTCGAGGGGGTCCCCCAGTAAAATACACATTTTTTTAGCGGGGTTCTCCTGGTACAGTTCACATTCCAGGGCCTAAATTTCACTCGCGTGAACGAGCACCAATTTGCCTCCGATTTCGGGCATTTGTCGGCGATTTAGCAAAACCTGTCGACGAGTGAAAAATCGGGCTAAAATCATGCAGTGTGAACTCGGCATAAGGTTTTTTGAACGAATCTTTGCAAATCGCCTTTCCTTTTAAGACCCTAAAGAATCATATCAACTTGTGGAAAATGGGCATCCGATGACCCCTTTAAGTTCAGGCTGAAGTGTTTTAGACTTTTAGACCTGGTTTAGACTTTCAGAAAATGTAAAAATATACACTAATGGTCAAAAGTTTGGAATAATAAAGATATTTTTATTTTATGTTTTTGCATGAAGTCTCTTGCTCACCAAGGCTGCATTTATTTGTTAAAATAAAAATAAAAACAATACTATTGTGAAATATTATTACAGTTTAAAATAACTGTTTTCTATTTG